AGCTGGGTTCGAACCCCCGCATGCTCCAGCATGCGAGTCATACACTAAAGTCATTACACCAACACACCACTTGACAACTTAAGTTATAGCTGAAAAGGGCAGGCAAAATGTTTCCAAGTAATCGCGGGTGAATTAGTCAAATTGATAATGATAATAATGTAATAATGATAATGTTGCTTTATTAGCCATATACAATTTCTTGCATTAGGAATTTGTCTTTTCGCATACCCCAGCTTGCTCTCCATGAGACACACAGACACACAGACAGGGAGAGAAGCTTGGGGTTCAGCCATTGTACAGCGCCCCTGGAGCAGTTGGGGTTAAGGGCCTTGCTCAGGGCCCAACGAAGTAAGATTCCTCTGCTGGCTGTGGGATTTGAACCGGCATCCTTCCAGTCACAGACACAGATCCTTAGCCACAGAGCCACTGCTCAGCACCATTCAGATTCAGATGTTTACAAAGAAAGTGGACTACGGTAATAATTTGAGCTATATGAAAATAAAGAAATCCTTAAATATCACTATTAATTTCTTTAGAAACGTGATTTCATATTATATCCCCTATAAATCAAATTCTAAAAATAATGTTTTTTTTACTACAATAACTAAAGCAAGTATTCATAGAAAAGCTTTAAACATTGTAATGTTTTATAAAGCATATAAACTTAATATAGTTAGATGGAGAACACAAAATATTTTCCAAAATAACCACAGTAAGAATGAAAGACTTTGAATGTTTATGAAGAAAGTGGAATACTGGTGTATATTTTTTATTTAAACTACTAATTTCAGCCACATACAGCTTACATAATATGTTAATATTCCTAAATTAATGTAATTTATGACGTTCAGAGACGTTATGCTCCCGTTATTTTTGTGCTCAGCTACCAAAATGTCCCTTTAGTTGTAAAATTCCATATTAATATCCAGTATTAAGCGGATTTAAACATGCACAGTAAAGAGATTAAATGAAGCAATCGTTTCACTAACAACCAACTACGAGTGCCACCTGTCAGTCATTTTGGCCAGCCAGTCACATACTGCGGTATAACACGCGGTATAGTACGGGGTTTTACCGTGCATTGTGAATGGCTGCATCTGTAGGTCAACCTTCTTTCTGCTTCTTCTAGTTTATTTAAGCTTTATCATAGACCTTCCTTACTTCTAACTTTAAATAGAAAAAAACGGTTACAATAATCCTTGATTTTTAGTTAAACAGAAAAAAAGTTCATGTTTTCTTCACCTCACTGTACCCATTTTCCCTTATAATGACAAAGGCTTCCATATGAAGTTACATCATTTTAGGGCAATTTACTTTAGTTTTTCTGTTTTTTATTTACTTAATATTGCTAGCACATTAAAACACTTTTATTATAAAACAACATATTCTCTGGGGAACACTGGGTGTAAAGTGATTTTCTGGTATAATAGAAAACAATTTATGATTTAAAATGTAATGTTACAGTACCAAGTAATCTGTGTAGAGCATAGATTTATTAATGAAACAGAGGTACTGGAATCCATTTATTTTTCTTTGTGTAATAAGTGTAAGCTAAATACTTCATCATTCAAAGTAACGCAAAAATGCACATTTTATTTCGCAACTGTTGCAGCTCTAATGATCATTTCAAATGTCATTGATGTATATGCTTTTACCAATCTGCACGTGGAGGCAAAAGAATTGATATTCTCCAAGTGCAACAGTCCCATTCAATAACTATTTTTAAAACAGTGCAGTTATCTTTAATGAACCACACACTCATTCCAGCAATTGGTACATATTTCTAAGACTGATCTAACTTACAACACGAAGCGGAAATATGTATTTCAGCACTTCTACAGATGTCAACAGGTGTAGAAATATTCTCGCTCTATATACTAATGTTACTCATTGGTAAACTGCTGGGATTTGATAATGCAGCTGAACACAGGGGCTAAAGCCACCATTCAGAAATGTGAGGTAAATTACTTAGCTGTTTGACTTTACATTAGTGCCTGCTTCCATGTTTGGAGATGATAAGAGTTTCAAGGTACTGAATGAGGTCTGTCTATTGTGGCATCCCAAAGGGCTCTGGTGTGCCTACATAAGCACTTTAAAGGAGAAGTAGGACAACAGCATTTCCTTATATGTACACTTTCGTGATTTACACACTGCATAAAACATATATGTTTCAGTTTTCCTTTGTTCGGTTTTTATTTTTTTGTAATACTATCTGCATAATTCTCTGCAGCTTCAACCTGTGCTCTGTGGGTGTGGGAATAGTCTAAAGAAGTAGTCTAGTAGTCCCTTACAAATAGTTAAGGGGCATGTGATTTAGTTTTCCCTTCAATAAGATTTAAAAAAAAAATCTTTTTAATGTATTCCAAATTAAATGCATGGAAGGCACAGTGAGAACACAGTACACTAGAACAGAATTTCCAAACATCACATAGGGAAATACAATATACAATCAAGCACTTTATAACTGACAATGAAGAGGTACTACAATGCTCAGTTGTACACTTAATAGAGCTGCAATGAATACGGAATGTGAAAATGTAGAGAAATATGATGTAAAGACTGAACAAGTTGCAGCGCTTTTTCTAAGGACAAATGATTCTGAGACTCCAGGAGACGGAAACATTTGGTTTCAGAGGACAGAAGCTAAAGAAATTGCCTGCACTGATTGAAAGAACTTCTTTTCAAAACTCCCTGCTCACAGTCTTTCTAATTATCTTTTTCTTTCACAGAGCTATGGCATGTTCATGGAAATTCTTAAGTGACTCTTTCAGAATAATTGCATTTATCAATACAAAATTGAGGGGAAACAAAACAGACCCATCAGAAAAATGATAAAAATCTTGTTTCAATAATGTAGAAAATGTGAACAAAACTTTTGAGCGTGAGAATATTCTGAAGGTTCTGGCTGTCCCAGACTAAGAGTTAAAGGATGTGAGATTAATTTTCCTTTTAAAATCTAAAAAGCTTTTCATGATGACTCTCAATCTCTCACGTTTTTCTGCTCAGTAATGTAAAATGTGCCACTGATAATAATGAGATTTAAAATGACACACAAAACACATTCTTTTCTCGTTCAAGATCAAAGTACAGTGTCCTTTTCACACCAGCTCAACCAGGAAAGAATTTGTTTTGCTTAACCACCTTAGGTTATGATAAATACAATCACATGGAGGTGATTTTTGTGGGTGAACTGAGCACAAGAATGGTAGTCATGTTGTTTTTATTTAGAAAAACCCTATAAAAAACGTCTGCTTGAAGAAAAAGAGTGAGCTTGACCAGAAAAAGTTCAACTCTGACACAAGCATCACATGCCTTGTTCAACTCATAATGAATAGGACATTCAAGAAAAATTGAGCCCTTAACTCATTTCAGGAAAGCTGTACAAAGAAGGATAAGTGGAAAGTTTTATGTACATTTAAATCAACTATTTACCCATAAGGGATGTAGCCAAGGTCCAAATGTAAATACTGCTACAAAATTTTAAGGAACAGTCATCCAGAGTTTGTGACACACGTGTAATTTCAAGTCTCCACATGAGTCATTAACTTTCCCCAAAATGTAATTTCCAATGTTTTCACAAAATTACACCATGAAAAAATGGATATAATGGGATTAGAGGATTCCAAGACCTAGATTACAAGAATGAAGCAACAAAAATGGTATCGATTTATTTTGGGTTCTCGTGGATTTCTGAAGTTGAATTTGCCATGCGTTCGGATGTTGCTTTTAACCAATTCATCACACCCATCCATCCTCTAACTGCCTCATCCAATTCAGGGTTGCAAGGGATCCTGACAAGCAATGGGTGCAAGGCAGGGTACTCTCTGGATGGGATGCCAGTTAAATTCAGATACATTTGCATTTAATAGCTATAAATAGTAAAATAGTTATAAAAAACTGCTTATTACACTTAGTAAATCATTAAATGTCCTTGTTGGAGATGGAGAGTATAGAATTTTATATAATTCCTATAAAAAACGACTAAGTTACAATTTGATATCAATTTAACGCGATTAAAAGCATTTGACGAAATACAAATCACATGTTGAAAGCACTTTATTGGAGTACTTCAAGGGGTTGACTGTAGAAAACAGCCAGAACCTCTACATATCATGGCTAGTGCGCTGCATTTTTTCAACAGGAAGAGTCAACCAGACCAGCGTCACATGAGTAAGGAAGACAGTTTCAATTATCTAACTGCAGTTAGTGTAAACTGTGCACAGACATACTGTAATATGAATCAGCACTGTTTAAAATCATGCTCAAGTTCGAGACGAGAAAGGCACGTCAAAACATCTCATGTGACTTCTCCTACAACTTGGTTAAACAGCAGTGATCAAGCTAATTATGATGCAGTACAAAGCAGCTTGTTAATAGTTCTCCGCCACTTAGAAGCGTGATATAAGAGAGGAAAACATGACACCTAGCCTTTACCTTCACCGTCTGAACAAAACTAAATTACAGATTTTGCATTTGAGTATAGGGGATAGGGGTATAGGGGATTAAGAGGCTACTGAGAATAGGCTTGTGAGAATTAAAAATTTAAAACGTCACAACTCAATCGCGTACTAATGTACACAGATATTTTGAAGCATCACACATTTTTATAATGTAGCCTAAGTGACAGATTGAAGTATGACTAACGCTATAAAAAATAGCGAAAGTATACAATGCTTGAAATGTATTATTTTCTGCAATTACAATTTTAAAACGTCAAATCGTACTTTACGTTTATTTCAATGAATATAACATACAAGCTGTTATGTCCAGTTCCTCAAATTTATATTAACTCTAAATCCGATATTTCTCTCTGTCCTACGGGAATCAACTTACAGCCTCGCCCCCTTCGTGGTGACTTTCAATCCCGCACATAGCGCAGGAAGAGTCCCTGGCTCTCCCTTTTTTCTAGGCCCCTCACAAAATCTTTGTGTGCGGTATCGAAAGAACGCCTATTAAGTTCATAAAACACAAATCAGGAATAACAAAGTAGGATTCCTTACCTGACCATTAATGATTTCTTAATATACTTATTTTCATTTAAACTTCACCCTGTTGTCACTCAGATCCTACAGTGTAACTGACAATATCACAGCACGTCCGCTCGGTCTTAGTGCCCGACAAACAACCTGCTCACTGTGATAGTTTCCTGAAGTTACAGTAGTTACTACTCCGCTATCGTCACTTTCAGTTTGAACTTTTTTAGACCAAACGTGAGTTGCTTAATAAACTAAGTTTGTTTAGGTAACTTGGAATTTTTGATTAACTGCGTATCATTCACATTGAGAAGAAGTAAATATCCTTTATTACCTAAAAACACAATAAGTCTGCAAACAACATGAGGGGGCATTCGGCCCAAAGTGCTCTTTTCAAGTAGCTAAGTGAATCTAAAAAGTTTCCAGAGTGTGGGCTTCATCCACCTAGCTGAGAGGCCTGTTTTAGATCTCAGTACACTTTTCCTGGCTCTTATTTTTTGGCTCTTCAGTCTTTATAGGGATGTATGATGTTTTGTGTGGTATGGTGACCAAAATTTAACACAATTTTGTAGTTGAAGTCTTTCTAGTGCATTGTAGACCTTTACCATAAATTATCTGAATTTAAATTCCAGTCTTTTTAATCAAGCATTGTGTGGGCTTTTTTTCCTTCCCTACATTGTCTTGATGAGGCCATACAAAAATCTACCTAAACACCCAGATCCCTTTTGTGTGTAACTTTTTGCACATCAGAAGCACCAATGTGATACAAATGGAGTATGTTCCAAATACTTTGTGCTATTCTTGAATTTAATTTGCCAAGTGTCAGCTCAATCCATGATTTTGTATAAGTCTTTCTGTTACTCCCTTGACACTGTTTATGTGTTTCCCACTCCACCTATTTTAGTTTTATTGAAAAAATTGTTAGTTTGACTAGTTTGCTAACTATACCAGAATCTAGATTGTTCCCATTGCTCAGGAAAAATGAATCTCTACACACCACTACTCACATTTGTGGCACTGCCCAGAATCTTTGTGACTTTTAATTTGAAAATCAACCTTTTATGAGGGACCATATCAAATGCTTTATAGAAATCTTAATATTCTATGTCATATGCTTATAATATCTAATGTCCTCATTGCTTATTAGAAGAAATCTGGCAAGTTAGTTAGACAAGACATTCCCCTATCTCAACACACGTTAGCTTTCTCTTAAAATGTCCTCGTTTTTTTAAGGACATCCTAATTGGAACCCAGCATTGTGTGGGATTTAATGTCAACATCAATGCTAGAATTCTGGGGGAGCATTGGTTAAAACTCTAGACTGAAGGATTGTGGGTTCGAATCACAGCTAGGATGCTGCTTTTGTACACTAGGTGCACCACACAAAAAGAAAGTTCTTGATGTACATATTTGTAAATGATAATAATTTCTCAATTTTCTTATTGCATGTATATTTTTTTCAACCAGGCCTACTCATGTTTTGCAGACTGAAGGGAAGCAGTGCAGGATTTCCTGGTATCATATTTGACCTACTGTAGGCTAAATGAGAAGAAGTTTGGTCTGTAGAAAAGATAACCCTTTTCTTTGCAAAAATCTAACATGAAATGTAAAATTGGACAGTGTATCCCAAAGAAACCTGAATATGTCAGGGACATGTAATAAAAATCTAAGTCATTTCATATAAAATATAAAAATAAAATACAATGCATATTGAGCGGCATTAAAAACAAGACAAATTATAATGGTGCCAATACTCATTATTAATGTCTCCTTGTGTATTATGCACAGTATATATAAAATACAGTTATTCTAAGTGGAAGTAGTATTGAATTTATGAGCTATATGCGATGAGGCCATGACCCGGCCAGACATGAGAGAAGAGAAAAAGTATCTAAAACTATGATGTTTCTCAATCTTTTTTTAACAATAAATGTCACTTAATCTTTTTTAAGATCTGATAAGTTTAACTTATATAAAAATATGTTTTCCTGGTTATAACATTATTATTTTCTGCATATTTTAAAATGACTGATTAAGTGGGAAAAAATATTGTTGCCTTTGACTCTATGTGCCGTAATTAGGAAAATCATGGTTATAAAATGATGGGTGAAACTGAGTGGCACAATGATTAACATTGCTGCCTCACAGCATTAGGGTTCTGGGTTCAATTCCAGACCTAGGGTGCTATCTGTATGGAGTTTACAGTATATGTTCTCCCTGTGTTTATGTGGGTTTCCTCCACACAGCAAAGTACAACAGTGTTACAGGGAAATATTTGTGACTTTCTTAGAATTATAAAAAATTGCCTGGATATGCATGTGTCTCCTCCAGGTTCTTTGGTTTCCTCCCACAGTCCCAAAACATACTGGTAGGTTAATTGGCTTCTGGGAAAACTGGCCCTGGTGTGAGCGTGAGCGTGTGCGTTTCTGTGTCTGAGTGTGCCCTGCGATGGATTGGCACCACATCCAAGGCATATCCCACCTTGTACTCTTTTGCTTGACCCTGTATTGGATAAAGGGGTTAGAACAAGGATTGATGTACTGTATTTCATTTGCAAAATATCAGTTGGGATTGATAGTGGTAGCAATGGAGGTTAAACATCTGCAAATATAAAAGTGGTACTTGTTAAATGTAAGGTTTATGTGTCTTTTTATTTTTTACTTTCACTATTTGAAATAGATTAGCATTTTCAAGACAGAAAAATAGCTTAAGTGAAAAATACTGCAATAAAAAGCATCTATCCATAGAATCCCATCATAGTGTTAGTCCCTGATCTGATGAAAACACATTAGTTTAGATTAACAGAATGGAATGCCAAGATGCATTCTCGTATAAAGGCTAAGAACTTGGCCAAGACAGTAGCTGCCTCCTCCTCTTCACACTCCTGTCTTGTGAGGAAAGGTGTAAAATGAAACACACTGCACTTTAACAGCTTGTGATTGCTGGGATTAGTGTTGGTTCACAATATTGACTTCAATACACATTTGCTGTTCCACAAGATGCAAAACAAAGAAAAGGGTCAGTAGTCAGCCTACAAAAAATAGATGTTATACAACATTTTTGGGATGATATATTTTTAGGCATTCTTCGAAATACACTTCTTACTGATGATCCACACAGTGTACAACTTTGAAGTTAATGCAAATTAATGGATTTTAATCACCAAGTTTGAAGGCTTATCCAAAGAATCACATAAATGTGTTAATCTTTTAGAAGGAAAATCTATGAAATCTTTAATTTCCTCCAAATATTACTGTACATATTTACTACTAAAAGTTACTGTACTTCCTATTTTGAAGAGGTTTTAGAACATTTATGCATGTCTCTATTTCTTTTATGAACAAAAAATATGTCATTGCTTAAAATACGTTAGCAACTGAAGAACTGCTCTAAAAGCTTCAATAAACTACATTTCCTGTCATTATTGATGTATCTTAAACAATTATTTTGTGTGGTTTTAATATTGTGATTTTTAACTCAGTATTAAATAGAATGACATGGTTAGCTACTACATTAGTTTTTGTTCTGCACAATTTTGTTTCATTTGGATTTTTTTCTGCTTGCCTTATTTGTTTGCAATGAATCAGTGGCATTGAAGGTTTAGGAATGTTATGTTTGTGATTTGTATTCAACTTGTTTTCCTATTGTCGACTTTTCATTGTAAAGGAAAATTGCAGGGCAAGTGCTAGGAGATTATGATGCTTCCATATTTTATTTCGCATCCACTCTTGAAATCATCTGTTTTTCTCAGTCAAGTCTCTAAATGCGGAATGGGGGTTTTGAATTATTAGACTTAGTGATTAATTCACAAGAATTTACTTAGGAAAAATGATTAAAGTTTAAAATTGAGAGTTCTTGCCATGACATTAAAAAAACATTAATTTACTTTAAATTTCTGCAACAGGGTAGATAAAGTGAAACATGAATATGTTACACTCATTCAAGGAGAACCTTATTTTGCATTGTGAAGCTGAAAGACTCATTACATGAACATCAAGAAGGATCGTATGGTTAGGCCTGCTTCCTTCTAATCCACAATCCTAGCTCAGCTCTAATATTGGGAGTTTGTCTGTTTGGTGTTGTTCCTGTGAGATAAGCACCTAGAAAAATCCCAAACAAAAACAGAGAAAAAATGCACTCCACATAGACAGATGCCTTAGGCCAGTCATTCTTTTTCTTGGTTAATATTTTTGTGTAAAATGATATAAAGGCTTTCCTTCCTTTAATAGTATTTCCTTTAAGAAATAAAAAAACAGGTCCAGAAGTATGCCTGATGCATGACAGATTTTGTATGTCAAATATATCTCCCACATTTTTCTTTACAGTCTGTAAGACTGCCTTAAAGATCTCACCCATCCTTTGCTAGTGAGACTGCAGAGCAGTACTAAAAATCATGGAGCGTCCTTCAGTTTTTCAATTTCTTTTTAAACTAAATGGGTTCGTCCCAGATATTGAACCCAGTAGGTCAGCATTCACATTATTTTATTTTTATACAGTATCCCTGAAAAACACTACAGTTTCACCCCTGAGAATCAAATGTCTCAAAGAAACTTAGTAAAGGCTGCTCTGCGTGTGTGACTGGCTATCTCGTGGACCCAAAGCTCTGAAAAAGTTGATTATGTGGCATCAGGGACCTTTAGCCACTGAAAGTTCCATAAATCTTTCTAAAGCAACCTATCTCAAAAACTTACATTAGGATGAGGTTTATGTTTTTATTGCATGTTTTTGATTGAAAACATTGATGCTTATAATATAGTCCCTGCTGTCTTCACTAAACGTAGTAATGTAAAAATAAATAATGTAAATCCTATTAATGTATTATCATTATAAATACATGCATGGGAATGCAAGTACGAAACTACAAGCCTCCAGAGCAGAGCAGGCTACATTTGAGCTCATGGATGAATCCCTTATGGTTTCCTAGATCTTTTCCTAGATCTTAAAGAACTCCTGCAGCCTACTCCTCTTGCTGGTTTCCTGCATTAACAACACAATATAAACTCACTATACAAACCATAACACTATATAAACTCACTCATACACGACAGATAAAGTCCATGTTACACACAATGCTTTTGCCCGGCGCAGACATTTCGCTTGCTTTTTTGGTTGGTTTTTGGATTCTCAGCTTTGTATTTAGGTTCTTTTGCCACCAAT